TTATTTTCTTTTTTTCTCCTTCCTGGCGAGTCGTTTCCTTGACTTTTCCAGGCTTTGTGGCGCGGCTCTGCTTGCCCTGGTCCCTGTAAAAGGGTGTAGGGTGGGTCAGGCTTTACTAAGCCCCAGCCAAGGTTTATCTGCCCAAATCCGGTGGGAGCTGGGCTGGGGCAGCACCAGGGATGTTGTAGGAGGCAGGAGCTGCCTCGCTCACCTTCTCCTCGCCCTTGCTTTGCAGAAGACGTCCTCCTGCGCTTGCTGTCCATCACCCACTACTCCCTGCCCCAGAGCATCCAGAGGTAACGCCGGGGTGGGTTTTGGGGGCTTTTCCGTCTTCCTCTTCATCGTTGCTCACTTGGGGAGCAGGGAAAACTGCACATTGTGGGCCCAAGATGTGGTGAAATGAACCTCTGCAACCCAGGAAGGGTGGACGGGGCATGGGAAGCTTTGTGGAGTGGACAACGCAGGGTTAAAACCCACCTTGGGGGTTAAGACCACCATGGTTTAGAGCAGCTCTGGTTGAGACGGGGCTTTTCTCTCGCAGCCTGAAGTGCCGGAGGTGCGCGGTGGTGGGCAACGGCCACCGGCTCCGCAACAGCTCCATGGGGGAGACCATCAACGCCTACGACGTCGTGATCAGGTACGACCCCGGCTCCGTCCTGCTGATCCCTCCCCGGTGCCAGCTGCAGATGGGGTTGACACCTGTGATGTCCCCGTGTCCCCCCTGCATCCCCTCCAAGGTTGAACAACGCCCCGGTCCATGGTTATGAGCAGGACGTGGGCTCCAAGACCACCATGCGCCTCTTCTACCCGGAGTCGGCCCACTTCAACCCCAGGACGGAGAACAACCCCGACACGTTGCTGGTGCTGGTGCCCTTCAAACCCATGGACTTCCAGTGGATGGAGGCCATCCTCAACGACAAGAAGAGGGTAAGTGTGGTGGGGAACCAGGTCCAACCCCTCCCTGGCTGCTCCGGGCTCCGACCCTCATCCCACCTCCCCCCTTGGGGACCTACTTATCTCTCTTCTTGGGATGTCACTGGACTTCTCCATCCTCTTGTAGGTTCGGAAAGGGTTTTGGAAACAGCCCCCGTTGATCTGGGACGCCAACCCCGAGCAAGTGCGCGTCCTCAACCCTTATTACATGGAAGTAACTGCTGCTAAACTGCTTAACCTCCCCATGAAGCAACCACGGAAGGTCAAACAGGTAAGGGGTGGGGACAGCCGGGCACCCGGCACCACCCTCCTTTTTTTTTTCTTGCTGGTCCCCCCCGGCTGTCCCACGGCACTACGTGCAGTTTCTCCTCCCCCCTCTCCCTCCAGAAGCCCACCACGGGGTTGTTGGCCATCACCTTGGCTCTACACT